CAGCCCTCAGCCCTCAGCCCTCAGCCTCCGGCCTGCAGCAGAGACGGAGCCCCGACAGAGCCCGAGGCCCAGCCGAGCCTCCCGGTGAGGTGAGGGACACGGTGTTGCAGCGCAGCCGCTGACCTGGCGCTAGACAAATGTATGGCCGCTGCGGGGTCATGAGTTTGGGAAGTGCATTAGTCTAGCGCCTGTCATGGCCCAACAGTGGCTCGCTTTGGTATGGTCATTGTTGTAAGAAACTTGGTCTACAATCTGGGCATAGCAAGATCCCACAAGGAGCTAGACGGTTTAATTTAGAATGGGATCAGAGGTAGTACAGACAAGATGGGCCGAAGGGTCGGTTCACACGCGGCATTGTTCTGTGATGTTTCCTCGGCGCTGACCCTCCGACAGTGCGGCGCTCCCTCGGCGCGGACCCTCCGACAGTGCGGCGCTCCCTCGGCGCTGACCCTCCGACAGCGCGGCGCTCCCTCGGCGCTGACCCTCCGACAGCGCGGCGCTCCCTCGGCGCTGACCCTCCGACAGCGCGGCGCTCCCTCAGCGCTGACCCTCCGACAGCGCGGCGCTCCCTCAGCGCTGACCCTCCGACAGCGCGGCGCTCCCTCGGCGCTGACCCTCCGACAGCGCGGCGCTCCCTCGGCGCTGACCCTCCGACAGTGCGGCGCTCCCTCGGCGCTGACCCTCCGACAGCGCGGCGCTCCCTCGGCGCTGACCCTCCGACAGCGCGGCGCTCCCTCGGCGCTGACCCTCCGACAGCGCGGCGCTCCCTCGGCGCTGACCCCCCCCCCCCCCTCCCCCCCACCTCCGACAGTCTGGCTGTGCCTGCTCCCTTAGCGCTGACTCTGTCAATGCAAAACTGCTTGTGATTATTCTGGTAGTTAGATGAAGTAGCATATAGGAAATTCATTTGTGGTTCATGCAACTGGCACAGAGCAATTGAACCCAGTGACTTGTTTGTGCTGTAAATTCTGTACTAGACATAGTTTCTGTTTAAGTATCTGACCTCAGACTGTTTGTGGCTGTCGTACTGGGGCCAATGTGTCGTTGGTGGTGTGGTCAAGTTTGAGAGAGGCTGGCTGGGTGTAAAGATTCGCAAAGAATGGGTTTGTGCAGATTAATGGGACTATGAACAATGGTGTATTTGTAAAACAAGAGCAGTCAAAATGTAAGCTGTGTTCCATGGCAACAGGAGTAGGCCGTTCAGCCCCTCGAGCTGTTCATTGTCACAGGCAGTGAGAGCTGTACTACCTTGGCATATGTTATGGGGAGGTTGTGAAGGCTCCCAGAGTTGAAGCTGGAGACCTGTCTTGTCAGTGAATGTTGGTTGGCTGAAGCCCTCTATCTGTGTCAGGGTTCAGAATGAGCAGTGGAGACTTTCTCCTTGCCTTCAAACTTTGAGAGCTGCTGGAAATGAAAATGCATTATCATCACAATGTGTATCTAACTGCAACCATCAAATCAGAGTATTGAAATGAATAATGTAGAGTGTGTGGGAGCCTCTCTTCAGCATGAAAGCCAATGTGATGTTACTGAAGTCAAAATGATCAGCACTGGGAACCTGAGGAGGAATGTCTGTGTAACACAAGCACTTCACTCTAGTAGTCAGTCTCATCTATAATACAGTTTAAAAAGTCCTATTGAAACATCCTGCTGTAATATAACTGAACTGAAAATGGAGGAAGATTATTGGGTGTCACTGAGTTCTTATTAGCTGATGTATGTTAGTGTGCTGATGAGAGGAAGTCTCATTCTGAGTGTGTGTGTATGTGGGGTGAGGGAAGTGGTAGGAGGTTAGACAGGGTTATCTGGTAATGAATGAGTGAAGATTCAGTGAGACCACCAGAGGTCCAGTATCTCATCAAAAGTGTCAAAACTGATTCTCAATACCTTTAAAAATGATGATTGGAGGTCTAAAGAAACAGACTGAAGTTTTAAACTGACGAAAGGGTGGAGTTTCTTATTCAAAATTGAGTATATAAGCCATTTAATTACTTCTAATTGAGGGATAGGAGGTACAGGAGATGCCTCTTAAATAACTCTGCTCAGCAATGTAGTTAGATATTTCAAATATGATGGCAGATCTCTTCGTGCTATTTTGAGCAACATGTAAAGTGGGTTTGTGAGATATGGTTTGATGTTCCTGGACGCGAACAGAAGGAGCTGCCCTCAAAATGGACTTCTAATCTTCTTATGACAGCTGTGCTTTCATGCTGTAATTGTTGCCTATTTTTTAAGTCTTTTTAAAAAGAAGTCTCAGACCCACTCCCCACTCCCTTAAACTGAAGGTAAAATTCAATTATATTATGATTGTGCCAGCAGAGGCCATTTTTACTATGAAACATAAATCAATCTGACCTTGTTATATAGTATCAGGTCTGGTATAGCCTGCAGTCTGGCTTCAAAACATGCTGCTCTAAGAAACTATCCCAAAAACATTCTATGACCTCCTCATCAAATGCCATCTTTGCCCATCTGATTCCTTTAGGAAGATTAAAATCTCCCATGATTATTACCATGCCTTTCTGAAAAGCTCCCATTATTTTTTTCCCTGTTTGCTGCACCCTACCTTGTAATTACTGTTAGGGGCCCATACACCAGTCACACAAGTGACTTCTTGCCTTTATCATTTCTCATCTCTACTCCATGGTTTGGGTCATTCCTCTCAAATATGCTAATCATCATTAACTAAAAGAGCTAGGCCTCCGCCTTTTTCAAGATTCCTGTCCTTCCTAAATGTCCTATACCGTTAAAGATTCAGGTTCCAATCCATGTTATCCTGCAGTTGTGTCTCTGATGGCTGCTAGATTGTATGACTTTATTTGCACTCAGTTCATTTCATTCAAATACAGAACTTTCAGTTTTATCTGTGCATTCTTTTTGTAACTGCTAACCTTTTCTGTTGATCTGGACTTAGATTTGTACACACTATCTCTTCCTATCACAATCTATTTATCATTTAATACCATTTTCTTTCACCTTGTTTCGACTCTTCCATAAGACCATATGATGTAGGAGCACCATTCGGCCCATTGAGTCTGCTCTGCCATTCAATCGTGGCTGATAAGTTCCTCAACCCCATTCTCTTGCTTTCCCCCCATAACCCTTGATCCCCTTGATAATTCACAACCTATCTATCTCAGTCCTAAATGTACTCAATGACCTGGCCTCCACAGCCTTCTGTGGCAGTGAATTCCATAGATACCCCACTCTCTGGCTGAAGAAGTTTCTCCTTATCTCCGTTCTAAAAGGTCTTGCCTTTACTCTAAGGCTGTGCCCTCAGGCCCCAGTCTCTCCTACAAATGGAAACATCTTCCCAACATCCACTCTGTCCAGGCCATTCAGTATTCTGTAAGTTTAAATTAGATTCCCCCTCATCCTTCCAAACTCCAATGAGTATAGTCCTCAAACATTCCTCCTATGTTAAGCTTTTCATTCCTGGGACCATTCTTGTGAACCTCCTCTGAACCTGCTCCAGGGCCAGTACATCCTTCCTGAAATATGGGGCCCAAAACTGCACGCATTACTCCAAATGTGGCCTGACCAGAGCCTTAAAAAGCCTCAGTAGTACATCCCTGCTTTTATATTCAAGTCCTCTCAAAATAAATGCCAACATTGCATTTGCCTTCCTGACCACTGACTCAACCTGCAAGTTTACCTTGAGAGAATCCTGGACTAGAACTCCCAAGTCTCTTTGCACTTCAGACTTCTGCATTTTCTCCCCATTTAGAAAACAGCCCATGCTTTTATTCTTGCATTACCTCACACTTTCCCACGTTGTACTCCATCTGCCACTTCTTTGCCCATTCTCCTAACCTGTCCAAGTCCTTATGCAGCCTCACCACCTCCTCAATACTACCTGTCCCTCACCTATCTTTGTATCATCTGCAAACTTAGCCAGACTGCCCACAGTTCCCTCATCGAGATCATTAATGTACAAAGTGGTCCCAACACTGACCCTTGTGGAACTTGTCACCGGCTTCCATCCTGAGAAAGATCCTTTTATCTCCACTCTGTACTTTCTGCCAGACAGCCAATCTTCTATCCATGCTAGCTTCCATTTACCATGTCTTCCTAAATTTGACCACTTGTTCCCACTACTTAGTTTAATATCCTCCCTACTTCCCTAGTTTTGCAACTTACGAGAACATCAGATTGTTGTTGTATACTCTTGATTGAACACTCACCATCATTTGCGTGGAGATCCTCTGACTGGTACAGATCTGACTTTCTCCAATGTAAAAGCCACACAAACTGCAACCCATTTGTCCTATAGCAGTGTTTGAACCACATGTTAAGGTTGCTATATTGGTCACATTTTGGGAGGTGAAATGTTGCCTGTGGAGTATTCAGCTTGGGAAAGAAAAAGGCACTAGACTTGGGAATATACAGGTGGAGTTGTATCAACTGCTGCTTTGAGTTGCAAAGCCAAGAGTGGAAAAAAATTGATAACCAATTGGGAATCTCTCACTCTGACTCTCATCCTCAAGGTTAATGTCAAGTGGAGAAAGCAATTCCAGTTCTATTGCTGTAGAATAAAAGTTAGCAACTAAACAGCTGACCTTATGTTTTAAAATCCAGCACCTGCAATCCTGGTGATAGGTCGTTAATCCAGAGGCCCAGGTCATGTTCTGGGGACTCAAGTTTGAATTCCACCACGCAGATGGTAGAATTTGAATTCAGTAAAAAAGAATCTGGAAGCAAGCATCTAATGATACCACAAAACCGTTGCCAATTGTTGGGGGGAAAAAATCCCATCTGATTCACTAATGTCCTCTGGGGAAAGAAATTACCATCCTTACCAGCTCTGACCTACAGGTGACTCCAGACCCTCAGCAATGTGGTTGACTCTTAACTGCCCTTTGGGCAATTAGGGATGGGCAATAAATGCTGCTTGGCCAGCGACACCCTCATCCTGTGAATGAATAAAAAATAACCTCCAGAGCTCCATGGACTTTAAATGGCAATTGACTATATTATTTTGTCAAGATATTTTAGTAATCAACCTGTTAAGAGATGTTATCACATACCTCTGGAGCTGGTGGGACTTGAATCTGGGCCATACCACTGCACCACAAGAACCCTTTCTTTCCTGCCTAGATACACACTTCTTCCGCAGCTTTATTTTTAAGCTTATGGCCATGGGAAATCTGCTGTGCTGGTTTGGACATTGCATCTGCAGGATAAGTCATCAGCTCCTGAGTCCTCTGTGGTCTTGAGGACAGAAAAAACGTTTCAAGGGTTTTCCAAAGGTTTTATTGAAAGGGAACAAATTGGCATTGCTTGGGAGGAACTTGCTGCAAACTGTACCAACAAACCACAAACTAGTTGGGGTCTGACTTGATAAACTGTACTGTGGAAGAGCAATGAGAGAGGAAGCAGAGGGAGCAAAAGCCCTGACTCAAGTGCTGTCATTCCCCCACTCTACCACCACCTTCTTCACTGCTGCTCCTGTCCTCTGTGTCCAGGGTTAACTGGCCTCCTGAGGGGGGATCACCTCATGAAGCTTGATAGATGCCATCCTTGTTGCAAGGGATGGATGGTGAGAACTACTGAAGTCCCAAAGCACATCCTCAATATTTGTGTCAAAGTCTCAGTTCACACAAATTGACATTTGTGCCTTGTCTTTCTTAACCCTTCTGCAGCATTTCATGTTTTTGTCCATTGCAAGTGAGATAAGAATGGAGCTGGATGATGGTGAAGGATGGTGTAGTCGCTGTGTCAAAGGCCAAAGACATTTTGAGAAAGATCAGGAGGGATCGTTTACCGCTGTCACACTCACAGGATGTCATTGGTGACTTAACAAAGAGCAATACTGTAGAGTAATAGGCCCTTCGGCCCTCCAAGTCTGCACTGACACATTTTGCCCTCTCAAACTAAAACTGTCTTCACTTACAGGATCTGTGTCAATCTATTCCCTTCCTATTCATGTATTCATCCAGGTGTTTTTTGAATGCTGCTATTGTGTCTGCTTCCACCACCATCTCTGGCAGCGTGTTCCAGGTACTCACCACCCTTTGTGTGAAAAACGTGTCTTGTACAGCTCTTAAGCACCACGTGGAACAATCCCTCTTCCGTACCTACACCGGCCCTAAACCCCACCTCTTCCTCCGTTACATTGATGACTGTATCGGTGCCGCCTCGTGCTCCCACGAGGAGCTCGAACAGTTCATACACTTCACTAACACCTTCCACCCCAACCTTAAATTTACCTGGACCATCTCTAACACCTCTCTCCCCTTCCTGGACCTCTCTGTCTCCATATCGGGCAACCACCTAGAAACCGATATTCATTTCAAGCCCACCGACTCCCACAGCTACCTAGAATACTCCTCCTCCCACCCACCTTCCTGCAAAAATGCTATCCCCTATTCCCAATTCCTTCGCCTCCGCCGCATCTGCTCCCAGGATGAGGCATTCCACTCCCGTACATCTCAGTTGTCCTCGTTTTTCAAGGACCGTAACTTCCCCTCCTCGGTGGTCGAGAACGCCCTCAACCGTGTCTCCCACATCTCCCGCACCTCATCCCTCACACCCCGTCCACGCAATAAGAACCAAAAAAGAATCCCCCTCGTCCTCACGTACCACCCCACCAACCTCCGGATCCAACGCATCATCCTCCGACACTTCCGCCATCTGCAATCCGACCCCACCACCAAAGACATCTTTCCCTCCCCACCTTTATCTGCTTTCCGGAGGGACAACTCTCTCCGTGACTCCCTTGTCCGCTCCACACTCCCC